ATTAGGTTCATATCCTCTTGCCGTTCCATATAATAATCATTGTAGGCCTGAGTGATTTCGGGTGATTGATGGATATCTATCTGAATATCTCTGTCGATAAAAATGTTGTTTTCATTGTCCTTATCTTGATTTTTGAGAATCTTTGTGTGAAATTCAAAGATTGGTACAGAAAAGCTTTGCGGTTCGTATCCACGATATAAATACGGATTTACCTGACTGTGCCGTACAATCGCCCGATGCAACTGTTCGTATCGATGTCTTTGCCAAATCTCTACGACTCCCGGTTCCCATTCCTCGATGGCCACAATGTAAGCGCCTTCGGGTATCTGCAGAATGGATCGACGCTTACATTTCAATATCTCTTGATTACTTCCACTGCGCTCTTCAAAGCCTCGCTTATCAATCACTAAACGCCAGGCAATGGTATTATAATCGGATTCATTTGCGCCCAAAAACAACACCGGATTCTTGTATTTTTTGACTTTTTCTTTTATCCATTTATTAGTCTTCATGTAAATGTTGCAAAAATCTTCCCATTTAATAGTTATTGGTTTTCTATCATAAACCATTAACATCACTTCCAGTTGGTCTTCCACTACAACAACACCTCCCTGTTCGACAAGTGTATGGTTGTGCTTTTCAATTGATGGATCTTTATGATAGCTATCCCTGACTAACAGTTTGGCACCGGCACACATATACAGTGCGAAACAATAAGGTGCGGCCGGTTTCGGTCTTTCATTCTTACGGTCGTTGTAGCAATGATTTCGGTACAGTTCCTCAGTCAGATCGTAAACGCCGGCCACTGATAAATTGCGGGTCGTGTCCATCGATCGCGTATAATACCGATCATCTGTAGGATTGTTGCTAAACTTTCGGTATTCATTTTCGACTGGCCAACCACTTAGTGGTTTCAGTATTTCCACTCCATCTGAATCCCAGCCATTATTTTCAAGCCAACACACGTTTTGGTGATCACTATTAAATCGCTTAAAGAGTAGACCCATAGTAAATACTTGACGATTCATTATATAGAGTTTAGGCTCATTTAGGTCTCTTTCATTTCTGATGGTCGGGTACTGGGCTTGTATTTTGATGGGTGGAAACATATCGATTAGATATTTGTTTCCATATCTTCCAACAAACACTAGGATGGCGTTAATAATGCCATGGTCTCTAATGAACACATGTAGACCCAATTGGCGACCGGCCGATAGCCAAAAGTATTTGCTTGCATTAGTATTTTTATCTTTATAAATATTAGGCATACTTTGCGGCTCTTTTATCTTATTGGCCAACTTTTTCAACTTTGACAGTTCATCCGGATTACCAATATCAGCGCCTATTAACAACATCGATGTTATCGATTGATACCAACCGAATAGCTCTTCACTAGACTTGTTTTTAGCAATGGGTGTCTTTTTATCCAAATCATAGTATTTGGGGTACAAATCCTTTATGTATGGTCTGTGTTGTGGCCAATAAATAGCATAATGGTGCCAATCACTGATCTTTGATTTCGATGATTGATTGGACACATAATAGACAGATAAACAACGACTGAATTTGCCGGCTAAGGGACCTTTGGTTTCTTTAATACCAAAACGTTCGATATATAGACCGAACACCCGATGATAGCTATTGAACGACCAGAATGTCATCCGTTGTCGCTGTTGTTGGTTTGGTTTGGACGGTACGGCCGACAATGTCTTGTAATAATGTTTTCCACTTAGAAACAGAAACGTCTCCTCTTTCTGGTTGAAGTAGACGTTCAGCGGATCGGTTGGCCATAAGTTTTGTTGATTGTTTCCACTCATTCTGTATGGTATTGTCGTTGTTGTTACAATTGCACCGGTAGTTAGGTGTGTGTATGTGTACTTCAGAGGAACTGTATTTTATTGATTGCTATCGTCTATTACTGTACTGTTGGTGGTGTTGTTGTTTTTACAGTTGAAATCTAACCGTTTTTTTTACAGATCAATTGATATGATTTTACTGTTTTTTTTTTTGTAATAAAAAACTGATAATTGTCTATTTGCTGGTGATTTAACAATCAAATTTGAATTTTTTTATTTAAAAAAAATATTAATATTGTTTTTGCTAGCATTCTCAACTGATTAAAATTATTATACTAATAAAACATTACAATAATATATTAGAATTATGTGAATTAATTTATTAGTTAATTAAGTTTTCATATTTTTTTTTGATTTAATATAAACCGGAGGATGACTATTTAAAAAGTTTAAGATTTTTTTTCGTTTTTGATGGTCGGGTATTTCGACGGTAATATTGGTGGACATAAACATATCGATCACCCATTTGTTTGGTTTTTGTTGATAGTTTGAAACAAATACCATTACATATCCCATCTATTAATCGACATTTTAATAAATTTGATTTTATTTGATTTTATTTGTTTATTTCAATTACTACTAAATATATTAGTAAATACTTGAAGAGCCGGTATTTATAAAAAGTAGTAGTTTTTAAAAACAATTATTTCTATTAACTATTTAAATGTTGATTTTTGTAAAAAAAAATTAGCATTAATTAAAAGTTAATTGTAAAAAAATAATAATATAAATAATTAATAAACAATAACTAAAATAACATATTACAGTTTCATATAATGAATAATTTATTGTCTATTATTGCATGTTATTTGCTGATACATACTGTACAGTACAGCACACATATAGTATATACTAGAGGGAGGAACCGAAACGGTTCGGTTTCATAAAACCGAATGAAACCGGAACCGAAACGGTTTTATCACGGTTTTGGTTTTTGTGTTTCGGTTCCGGTTCGGTTCGGTTCCTGTTTGCAGGTCCGGTTTGGTTGCGGTTCTTGTTTTTAGCTTTAGGTTTTAGAAACGGTTTCGGTTTTAGAAACGGTTTCGGTTTTAAAAACGGTTTTAGATTTAAAACGGTTTTAATTAAAAACCGATTTGAGTTTAAATTAATAGCACAAATAAAATTATCTTTAGAAATACTGTTGTTAATATTATTAAATATTTTTATTTAACTATTATTACTTTATATTAATATTATAATTGCATTTAAAAAATAATTCTTTATAACTTTTAATTATTATTACTTTTAATTATTTATTAACTAAAATTTTTCTATTTTAATTAATTATTAATTTAGTTATAAAATTATATTTATAATTTTATATATTATAATATACACTAACTTAATTAATTAAGTTAGTGTATATAATAACTATAACTTATACTAATTTAATTATAACTGTATTTTATAACAAAAAATAAAAATATAAAAATCAATTTTTTAAATTTTAAGCCCACTTTTTACCCCCTTAATATTATTAACGTTATTTATGTAAGATTACGGTTCGGTTCCGGTTTCATTCGGTTCCTGATTTTTAGTAACGGTTCGGTTGCGGTTTAGGATTTTCAGATTTTTCGGTTTCGGTTCGGTTCGGTTCTTGACTTTGAGATACGGTTCGGTTGCCCCCTCTAGTATATACTGCTTACCCTTCCAGCCTAAATAAAAACTAACTGTTCCTAATCTGAGACAATGTGAAATAACTCGGAAGGTATGGTATAAATATATAAAACAAGATATTTTCAATTTGTTTTTTTGTGACAATAAATACTACTATTAAATGATAATAAATAATATTTATTTATTAATCTTTTTTTCTGAATATAAATTCTCTAATCAAATAAGTAGTTGTTGTTGTCTTCATTGAGTTTCTTGTTTTTGTTGTTGACTTTGATGACATCTTTTTGTTTTCTAAATTAAATTAGGTCTGACTAGAAGTTCATTGTTAGCAATGAGTGTCTTCAACTCGGCATCTGATCTCTTTCCGACCAACGGTTGTCCAATAATTTTAGCGGTATTCGGCTTAATGACTACCTGTTTGTTTGAATCATTTGGATAAATAAATTCATAGTAACGACTATAAACTGAACCGATTTGTTTGTCTATTGACTTCTGATAGTACCGTCCGTCGACACCCAACCGAAAGTCTAAGCGATTTTCCAGCAGATGTTTGTAATCGTATGGATTGTCTATTGGTTCCCATTGGTGTTCAGTGAATGTGAACGAAGTGTCGTCACTAAGCTTTAGTATCGGTTGGTTCTGTTGTTTGCCAAACGGATAAATATTTTTGTCGGACAGTGTTTTGTAGGTCATTGGGTCATAGCTGTACTTTTTGAAGACTGTCCGCAAATCACATTTGTTGTTGTCATCAATAGATAATACTTGCGGCAAATAGAAGAGCCGGAATTGGTTGGGATTGTCGGGATTGGAGATCTTTACCGGTGGATAGGCGGGCGGCGTAGGCGGCGGACAGCTATGGAAACTCTGTTTGTGAATTCTATTGAATCGGTAAAAGTTGAACTCTTTGGGATAGACCATATTGATTAGGTTACTGTCCTCATGCCGTTCCATATAATAATCATTGTAGGCCTGAGTGATTTCGGGTGATTGATGGATATCGATGAGAATTTCTCTTTCGATAAAAATGTTGTTTCATTGTCCTTATCCTGATTTTTGAGAATCTTTGTGAGAAATTCAAAGATTGGTACAGAAAAGCTTTGCGGTTCGTATCCGCGATATAAATACGGATTAACCTGACTGTGCCGTACAATTGCCCGATGCAACTGTTCGTATCGATGTCTTTGCCAAATCTCTACGACTCCCGGTTCCCATTCCTCGATGGCCACAATGTAAGCGCCTTCGGGTATCTGCAGAATGGATCGACGCTTACATTCCAATATCTCTTGATTACTTCCACTACGCTCTTCAAAGCCTCGCTTATCAATCAATAAATGCCAGGCAATGGTATTATAATCGGATTCATTTGCTCCCAAAAACAACACCGGATTCTTGTATTTCTTGATTTTTTCTTTTATCCATTTATTAGTCTTCATGTGATTGTTGCAAAAGTCTTCCCATTTAATAGTGATTTGTTTGTTGTCATCATTAAAAATCATTAGCGACACTTCCAGTTGGTAGCCACCGAGTATGCCTAATATTTATAATGAAAATATTAGTGTAAGCAAATACTTTTGGCTATTGGCCGGTCGCCAATTGGGTGTACACGTGTTCATCAGAGACAATGGCAATATAAACGCCATCCTAGTGTTTGTTAGAAAACAGGGAAACAAATGTCTGATCGATATGTTTCCGCCAACCAAAATACAAGCTCAGTATCCGACCATCAGAAACGAACGAGACCTGAATAAGCCTAAACTCTATATAATGAATCGTCAAGTGTTTACTATGGGTCTACTCTTTAAGCGATTTAACAGTAATCACCAAAACGTGTGTTGGCTTGAAAATAATAGCTGGGATTCAATGGGAGTGGAAATACTGAAACCAGTAAAAGGCTGGCCAGTCGAAGATGAATACCGAAAGTTTAGGAACAATCCTACAGATGATCGGTGTTACACTCGATCATTGGACTCGACCCGCAATTTATCAGTGGCCGGCGTTTACGATCTAACGGAGGAACTGTATCGAAATAATTGTTACGACGACAGAAAGAATGAAAGACCGAAACCGGCCGCACCTTATTGTTTCGCACTGTACATGTGTGCCGGTGCCAAACTGGTAGTCAGGGATAGCTATCATAAAAATCCAGCAATTGAAAAGCATAACCAAACACTTGTCGAACAGGGAGGTGTGATTGTCGTGGAAGACCAACTGGAAGTGTCGCTAATGGTTTATGATTTGGAAAAATCAATTACTATTAAATGGGAAGACTTTTGCAATAATTACATGAAGACTAATAAATGGATAAAAGAAAAAGTCAAGAAATACAAGAATCCGGTGTTGTTTTTGGGCGCAAATGAATCGGATTATAATACCATTGCCTGGCGTTTAATGATTGATAAGAGAGGTTTTGAAGAGCGTAGTGGAAGTAATTAAGAGATATTGAGATGTAAGCGTCGATCCATTCTGCAGATACCCGAAGGCGCTTACATTGTGGCCATCGAGGAATGGGAACCGGGAGTCGTAGAGATTTGGCAAAGACATCGATACGAACAGTTGCATCGGGCGATTGTACGGCACAGTCAGGTTAATCCGTATTTATATCGCGGATAAGAACCGCAAAGTTTTTATGTACCAATCTTTGAATTTCACACAAAGATTCTCAAAAATCAAGATAAGGACAATGAAAACAACATTTTTATCGACAGAGATATTCAGATAGATATCCATCAATCACCCGAAATCACTCAGGCCTACAATGATTATTATATGGAACGGCAAGAGGATAGGAACCTAATCAATATGGTCTATCCCAAAGAGTTCAACTTTTACCGATTCAATAGAATTCACAAACAGAGTTTCCATAGCTGTCCGCCGCCTACGCCTCCCGCCTATCCACCGGTAAAGATCTCCAATCCCGCCAATCCTAACCAATTCCAGCTCTTCTATTTGCCGCAAGTATTATCCTTTGACGACAACAACAAATGTGATTTGCGGACAGTCTTCAAAAAGTACAGCTATGACTCAATGACCTACAAAACACTGTCCGACAAAAATATTTATCCGTTTGGCAAACAACAGAACCTACCGATACTAAAGCTTAGTGACGACACTTCGTTCACATTCAATGAACACCAATGGGAAGCAATAGACAATCCCTGCGATTACAAACATCTGCTGGAAAATCGCATAGACTTTCGGTTGGGTGTCGACGGACGCTACTATCGGAAGATAATGGACAAACAAATCGGTTCAGTTTATAGTCGTTACTATGAATTTGTTTATCCAAATGATCCAAACAAACAGGTAATCCTTAAGCCGAATACCGCTAAAATTATTGGACAACCGTTGGTCGGAAAGAGATCAGATGATGAGTTGAGGACACTCATTGCTAATAATAAACTTATAGAGAAACCTAATTTTTAATAGAGAAGAAAAAATCGTCATTAAAGTCAACAATAAAAACATAAAAATACAAAAAGAAATTCAATGACGACAAACCAATTACTTATTTGATTAGAGAATTTATATTCAAAAAAATAAAAAAAAAAATAAATATTATTTATTATCATTTAATAGTAGTTTTAAGTTATTTCAGATTGTCTCGGACTAAGGGATAGTTGGTCTTTATATATAGGCTGCAAGTGTAGACAGTGTATAGTATATAGAGTATAGAGTATATAGAAACCCAACAAACAACTGGGTGATCGATATGTTTCCGTCGGCCAAAATTACCGCCCAATACCCAACCATCAAAAACCTAGTCATACTTTCGGTTTATATTAAGTAAAGAAAAATATGAAAAATAAATAATAATTATAATGATAAAAATACTAATGCAAGCAAATACTTTTGGCTATCGGCCGGTCGCCAATTGAGTCTACATTTGTTCACCAGAGACAATGGCAATATTAACGCCATCCTAGTGTTTGTTGAAAGATATGGAAACAAATGGCTAAATAGAAATAATTGTTTTTAAAAACTACTACTTTTTATAGATACCGGCTCTTCAAGTATTTACTAATATATTTAGTAGTTATTGAAATAAACAAATAAAATAAAATTTTTTTAAAATATAGATTAACCACTGTAATGGTTGCCACCAATATTACCGTCGAAATACCCGACCATCAGAACCGGTTTATATTAAATAAAAAAATATGAAAAATTAATTAACTAATAAATTAATTAACTAATAAATTAATTAACTAATAAATTAATTAACTAATAAATTAATTAACTAATAAATTAATTAACTAATAAATTAATTAACTAATAAATTAATTAACTAATAAATTAATTAACTAATAAAATTAATTCACATAATTCTAATATATTATAATAATGTTTTATTAGTATATAATAATTTTAATCAATTGAGAATTTTAGTTTTTTAATTTAATTTTAATCACTTACAGTTAGACTGACCACCAAATTTATTAGTAAACCTGTATAATAGTATAAAATTATTATTTTCACCTGTATTTTCCTGTATATTAAATATTATATTCCTGTATGTTAACCTGTACTTAAATAACTATATTTTCGTATATATTTATAATATAAATTAAGAAAAATTTTAATTTAGATACTATAATTATATAAAAAGTTAAAATTATTTTATATTGAACATGAACAATTTTAGAAATATTTATAAATTTTTTATATTTAAACAAATATTTTAAATATTTAAACTGTATATTAAAAATACAAGCAATTTTTTACTAACAAAACTTAATTCATAGTTTTATTAATCAATTAGTTTTACATATTTTAAAACTGTATATTTTATTATATAGGTTAGCCCTCTCCTGTCACCTGTATTAGACTCTTGATTCCTGTATAATACAGGCGGCACCTGTATGGGTGGTCACTCTACTTACAGTATTAACCATTATATTAAATTGACAATAATTATTTTTTATTTAAATTTTTAAATAGTTAATATTGTATCTACACTACAATTTGTGATACAAAATAAATATGTATATATTTAAGCAGTTTATATTTAATGTAGAGTACTAATGAATTTTAAAAAATAAATAAATACATATCAATAAAAAATCAAAACAAAACATACAAACAATTAATAATTGTATTAATCCTATAGTAATTTCATTTACAATATATATATATCATTTTGTTTTTATATCATTTTGTTTTTATATCATTTTGTTTTTATAACACTTTCTCTCGAATCTAACAATAATGATAACAATATATTTTTTTAAAAATAAAAATTTCAAATTTTTTCTATAAAATCAGTTCTATAGCCCTAACCATTACTAGAAGTAAATCACAACCAAAACAGTTAGATTTTAGAGCCCAACTCTTCATCACTACAACAACTACCTGAGCTCTAACAACACGATAGACACAAACAAACATCAGAAGAATCAGATAAAAAGACAACTTATTATATCAAATATCAAACAGAATGAGTGCTGACAACAATCAAAACTTATTGGACGATCCGCTGGACATCTACTTCAACCAGAATGACGAAACATATATGTATATAAGGGAACTACCGTTTCTTTCTGGATCGAGTCTATCATTCTGGTCGATGAACGGCTTTCATCGGGTCTTCGGTCTCTATATTGAACGCTTACGCTTAGAAGATCCTGTCGGTAGCGGCACATACAGTAAATCATTGATTGCCTGTCAAACGATTAATCAAAAATCCAAATCGGGTGAAAAAGATTGGCACCATTACACCAATTTCTGGCCAAATAGAGGGTACATTAGAACTTATTATAGCGAATACTTGGATCGGGACCTACAAACCAGACAAAGAAGAACAAAAACAACTGAACAACAGTTCCATTGGTATCAATCGATAACATCGATGTTATTAATAGGCGCTGCTATTGGCAATCCCGCTCACGAGCCAGAGATAGAAAAATTGGTCACTAAAGTAAAACCACCGGAAACTATGCCCACAATTTATAGTAAAGCTTTTAGTCTACACAAATACGTATGGCTATCGGCCAGTCGCCAATTGGGTCAACACGTCCTAATCTCCAACGACGGTAGATTAACCACTTTTATGGTAAATGTTTCAAACTATGACTCAAACAAATGGGCGATCGATATGTTTCCGTCGGCCAAAATTACCGCCCAATACCCGACCATCAGAAACGAAAAAGATGTGACACTTTCTTGTGGCAGTCCTCCGATTTATGTTATGAATCGTCAAGTGTTTACTATGGGTCTACTCTATCAGCGGTTCGGCTACGATGACAATTGTGTTTGTTATCTTGAAGATCATAGCTACGGAAATCAACCGGAAATACTGAAAAATTCATACAACAGGAAAACCATACGTTATTATGAAAAAGGTGTCGTAACAGATGATAGGGTTTACACCCGATTTTGTGAGGAAAGTAAACCATTATCAGTGGCCGGTGTTTACGATCTGACTGAGGAACTGTATAGAGAATATTGCTACGATGACCGCGGGCAACAACATCAACAACCGGCCAGTCCTTGTTTTGCACTGTATATGTGTGCCGGTGCCAAATTGATTGTAATGGATAGCTATCAATCAGAACCAGAAGAGGAACGACACAATCGGATACTTGTCGAACAGGGAGGTGTTGTTGTAGTGGAAGACAAACTGGAAATGTCTATTTCGCTTTATCGTGATGGCAAATATGTGACTACTGATTGGCAAGACTTTTGCAATATATATATGAATACTAAAGACTGGATAAAAGAAAAGGTCAAGAAATACAAGAATCCGGTATTGTTTTTGGGAGCAAATGAATCCGATTATAATACTATTGCCTGGCGTTTGAAGATTGATAAAAGAGGAGATGAAACCAGAACAGGGAGTTATCCTGTTTATATAGATTGTAAGCGTCGATGCATTCTGGATGTACCCGAAGGCGCTTACATTGTAGCCATCGAGGAATGGGAGCCGGGAGTCGTAGAAATTTGGCAAAGACATCAATACGAACAGTTGCATCGGGCGATTGTACGGCACAGTCAGGATAATCCGTATTTGTATAGAAGACCGGAACAGTTTTCATTGCCAAACAATCCTCTGCTGACAAAGATTCTCAAAAATCAAGATTACGATAATGTAAATAATATTTTTAGGTATAGAGATATTGAGATCGATATTCTTAAATCACCCGAAATCACTCAGGCCTACAATGATTATTATACGGAAAGGCAAGATAAAAGTAAGCAAATCGATAAGGTCTATCCCAAAGAGTTCAACTTTTACCGATTCGATAGAATTCGCAAACGGCATCATCATCGCTGTCCGCCGCCTACACCGCCCGCATATCCACCGGTAATAGTCACCGATCCCGAGAACCCTGACCAATACCGGCTCTTCTATTTGCCACAAATATTATCATTTCCGGGCAAAATGTGTGATTTGCGGACAGTCTTCAAAAAGTACAAATACGACCCAATGTACTACAAAACAATGTCCGACGAAAATATTTATCCGTTTGGCGAACAACAGTCACCATATCTAGCCATCAGTGACGACTGGATTGAATTTGATGAGTACGAGTGGTTTCCAATCAGAAATCCATTTGATTTCAAACATTTGCTCAAAAATCGCGAAGACTATCGATTGGGTGTCGACGGACGGTATTATCAAAAGAACGGAAACCAAGTGATCGGTTCAGTCGCAAGTCTTTACTACGAGTTTGTCTATCCGAATGATAAAAACAAAACGGTAAGCATTCAGCCGCAAATCGGCCAAATTAATGGTCAACCGTTGATCATCGAGAAAACGGATGCCGAAGTGGCCACAATTATTGCTAACTATGAAATCTTAAAGCCAGCGTATTTGTAAAAACAAAGAAGGACTAGTCATCGATGGTAACAAAAAAAAGAAGAAGAAGAATCTGAACAAAGAAAGTGAAAAATTAAGAATCAAAAAGAAATTTAATAAAACATTTGTTTTATATAATTATAATTAT